AGCAAATCTATTCATCCATTCATCACCAATCCATTTTGCTTTCTGCATCTGTTTCAAAATGGTTACAGACATCAGTATACAACCTTCACTGAGTAGTTCTGAGGTACATAAAGCACCAAGAGCCACATCTAGCACACAGGGAGGTGTTAATCATAATCGCCCTTTCCCTCCATTGATGTTTACTCTTCACAGCTTCCTTGTTGTTAGACCCACTAAGAATGTTTGTATGAATATTTCTTTTTGGGAAAGAGGGAGATTTCTACAATAGCTCTTCCATCAAAATTCTTTGTCCTCCACCTTTAAAATGTATCCAGAACCTAGACTTCTAGTTCCTGACAGAATGAAGTATCTCCATTTCTCTCTAATCTTCCCTCTTATTAAAAAAAAAAAAAACTTGGACACAATAAAACAAATAAATGTAAGAAGACTCTAAACGTTGAAATGGAGGTGACAGACTGATCAGGAAAGGAGTGACACAGTGGCAAGTCCCCTGGACTTTCTTTTTACTGGCTATATCCTGGACAGGGCGCTGGGGAAACCTGCTGCTTGGAACTGCCAGTAGGCACAGACAAAGAGAAAGGCTCGAGTAAAGCTTGATCTCTTTAGACAGAGGAGTGGGGAAAGGTTGTACTAATACAACCGGGAAACTTGATAATACTGACCCACTCTACTCAAACCGAAGAAAAGCAGTCTCTTCACCCCGGCGGTGTCAGTGGGGCTGTGCAGAGAGCTAGACTTCTGACTTTACCACGAGCAGGCAGGAGAGGCAACTATAAGATGATCCTCCAGTTCCTCCACTGGGCTGATGTCAGCGGGCAGAAGGGGCTACTGATAGCATCTGGCAGCAAACGGGCAGAACAAGGTGATATGAGGTAGTGCCAGCTGATACTCCACTTTCCAGTAGGCAGTTGAACTTGTGCCCCCACTGGGCAGCAACAAGCTGGAATGAGGTGGCACCAGCTGGTATTCCATCCCCCTACTCCTAGTATTGATGAGGACCAACAGGAAGCTGAACTTCACCCCTGCTGTGGCAGTGAAGGAGGAGAAAGATGAAAGCAGCACTGGTTGGCAACCACTCTGCCTGCCAAAGTCATGTCAGCAGGGCCCAGTGGGGAGCTGAACTTCTTCCTCACCCAGAGACAAGCAGGCCGCAGGAGGGGGTTCAAGGCAGTGTTAACACCCGGTTTTCTCTCCCCCACTGGGTCCAGAGGGGAGCTGAGTTTCTACCCCCACCTAGTGGCCACAAGGCAGAATGAGTGGAATGTTCCACTTTTCTTTCCTCCTCAGTGTTCCTGGGGTGCAGGGGAACTCCCAAGGCCATCCAGGTGCAGTAAGAGTCTGTTTTATACTAAAGTAATCATTTTTAAATGTAAATCAAATCAAATCATTCTCCTCATAGGCTTTCTACCTATTTTTCTCAGAGTAAAAGTCAAAGTTTTTCAAAATGGTCTACAAGGCCCTGCAGGATTTACCCACTGTTGTCTCTCTGACCAGAGTGGGCAAAATCCTAAGATAACCCCATGATATCTACCTCCTGGTGTTACTTTCTCAGGTAAGTCACCTTACATTAGGGGGAAAGAAAGGATTTTGCAAATGTAATTATGGTTACTAATCAATTCATCTTAACATAGGAGCTATCTAGGTGGGCCTAGGCTAATCACATCCATCCTTGAAAAGCAGAGAGTTAAATTCAGTTACAGGTAGTAGCAGAAAAGGGAGTCAGAGAGATTCCAAATGTGTAAAGAATTTAAGGCACCATAGAGGGAGCCATGTGACCAGGAATGTGGGTGGCCCCTGGGAGCTGAGGAAATGGGTTCTTTTTTTTTTTTTTTTTTTTTGAGTTGGAGTCTCACTCTGTCACCCAGGCTGGAGTACAGTGGCCGCTCCCGGCCACTGCAGCCTCGACCTGCTGGGCTCCGGCGATCCTTCCGCCTCAGCCTTCCAAGTAGCCGGAATTACAGGCGTGCGCTACCACGCCCGGCTGATTTTTTGATTTATTGTAGAGATGAGGTCTCGCTGCCCAGGCAGGTCTTGAACCCGCGGGCTCAGTCAATCCACTCACCTCTGCCTCCCAAAGGCGCGGGATTACAGGCTGAGCCACCGAGCCCGTCTGAAATGGGTTCTTTTGATAGATAATTTTATGTGTCAATTTGGCTGATATTTGGTTAAACATTTTTCTACATGTGTCTGTGAGGGTGTTTCTGGATGAGATGAACATTTAAATCAATAGGCTGAGTAAGGTAGTTTGTCCTCACCAATGTGGGTGGGCCTCATCCAATCCATTGCAGACATGCATAGAACAAAAAAGCAAAGTAAGAAAGAAATCACTGCTTTTTCCTGATTGTCTTCACACTGGGACATTAGTCTTTTTCCACCTTCACACTCGGACTCAGGCTGGAACCATATCACTGGCTCTCTTAGGTCTCTGGCTTGCCAACTGCAGATCCTGGAACTTAACAGCTTCCATAACTACACAAGCCAATTCCTTATTTCTCTCTCTCTATATATATGTGTGTGTGTGTGTGTGTGTGTGTGTGTGTGTGTGTGTGTGTGTGTGTGTGTACATATATATTATATATATATAATTTAATTTGGGGTATATATATATATATATATAATTTCTTTGGAAAAACCCTGACTTAGACAGTTCTACAACCACAAGAAACTAAATTCTGCCAACAACCTGAATAAACTTAGAAACATACTTTTCCACAGAGCTTTCCAATAAGGCTCAGCCTAGCTGACACCTTGACTGGTAACCCAGCTACCAAGCAGACAACGGGGACAAGCCCACCCAGATTTCTGACCTACAGAACTGTAACACAGTAATGGGTGTGGTTTTAAGCTGCTAAATTTGTGGCAATTTGTTTCACAGCAATAGAAAATGGACACATTGGCTTCTTCGACTCTTACTCTCCTTTCACATTCCCTCAAGTCCAGTCACATTGGCCTCCTGATTCTCTTCTGACAACACCAAGCACCCTTCCCTATTAGAGTCTCTGTTTGATTGCTCCTTTCCTCCAGCTGAAATGTTCTTCCTTTAGATATCTACATGACTTGTTTCCTTACCTCTTCAGTCTTAAGTGTCACCTTCTCAACGAATCCCTTGAGGTCCACCCCTGCCACAACCTATACCTCTTCCACTGCTCTGCTTTTTTTCCCTCCAAAATACATATTGCCTATTAATATATTAAATAGTGAACTTATTTATTGCATCTATTGTTTGTTAGAGGTCTACTTTCTTTAGAATGTAAGCCCAAAAGGGCAGGGATATTTGTTTTGTTTGCAAACATTATAAGCACCTGAAACTGTTCCCGACACCGTAGGTGTTTGCCAAGTATTTGTAGAATAAAATGAATTAACTTCATGTCAATTTACCTGTGACTTAATGTATCAATAAGTAACATATCACTTACAGTTCAAGTTGCAGTGTTCATTTTATGTATGCCTCATAATAAGGCTAAACATATATATAGTATATAACTTTATGCATGGAAATGTGATGGCAAATAAAAAACCCTTTATGTAGACATTAGCATAAAAATATATTATGATAACTCTTTACCATTCTTCCATCATCAAGAGCAGGAAAATAGAAGAGGAACTTCAGGGATTGGAACTGAGATGTTTGGGAAAGGAAGGTGGGTGATCCAAACGACACTTGTTCAAACCTAAGGCTTACAGAACACTTTTGTAAACTACTGATAGAGAAAGTTGAACTAGATACCTTTTAAGGTCTCTTACAATTCCATATTTTTATAATTTTCTGGCCTCTACATAAACTCAGGAAACCATTGGCTCGAGATTTTTTTCTCAGACCTTTTTTATCAGTGACCCTTGGTCTGCATTCACAGTCCTCCCTGAGGACCCAAGTTTTTGTCCTTCGACCCCAAGTTCTTCAGAACATCTCCCCATGGATATCCCACCATGGCCTGGAACTGAGTATGTCAAAATCCTACTCATCCGCCTTTTACTAGTGGCTTGGGTACTCTGTCTCCTCCTTTTCCAATACCTGAATCGATCGCTTCTCTCTTCAGACTTTCTCACACGTCATCCTTTTTTCTTTATTCTCACTGCTGACACCCTTGTTCTGGCTGCCACTGCTTCACAGCTGGATTACTTAGACAACATTCTAAATGACTTTCCCACCCCCCATTTTATCTGTGCTTCCCTTTCAATCAACCCTACAAATGACCCTTTGTTAATCTTCCTAAAATAAATTTAAGTATTCTTTCAATGAGTCCCCACTGCCTACAGAGTAATTTTGATTAACAGTCAAGCAAACAGCACCCCACAGCCTGGCATATAAAGGGCTTTCATATCTGACCATTCAATCTCGTCTCTTGTCCCCACAAATTCCTCCCCTTTCTTGGATATATCCAACCTACTGAGCAATATTGTAGTATATAAACCAAAAAGAGATGTTCTAAACAAAGGAAAAGTGGAAATAAAGCTAGCTTAAGAAAATGTTTTAGAATTAAGGAATGATTTTGCATGAAATTTTGGTAGTTGTTATAGTAAGGAATGCAGACATCTGTCCTGCTATTAACCTCTTTCTTGATGTGCAAATGTATCTTACTTTGGGAAACCATTTTCATGGGTAGTGAGTGAATCGCCGATATCATATATCCCAGTCAAAGTAAAAGCTATCTAACTCTTAGCCAGCCATACTAACACTTTTGGGAAGCTGAGGTGGAAGGATTGCTTGAGACTAGGAGTTCAAGACCAGCCTGGGCAACAAAGCAAGACCTAGCTTTTCCAAAAAAGTAGAAAAGTTAGCTAGGTGTGGTGGCACATGCCTGTAGTCCCAGCTACTTGGGAGCCTGAGGCAGGAGGATCACTTGAGCCCAGGAGTCTAAGGCTGCAATGAGTTATGATTCTGCCACTGGAGCAGCCTGGGCAACAGAGTGAAACCCTGTCTTTAAAATAAAGAAAGAAAAGAAAAAGCAGCCTGACAAGTGGGTCACTCTGTGAGCTGTATTCTCCATTTGTTTCCACAGGGAGCCCCGCAAGGTGGTCCTGCACAAAGGCTCCACAGGTCTAGGATTCAACATTGTAGGTGGGGAAGACGGAGAAGGCATTTTTGTATCCTTTATCCTGGCCGGTGGACCAGCAGACCTAAGTGGGGAGCTCCAGAGGGGAGACCAGATCCTATCGGTGAGTATTTCTCTTTCATCTTCCTTCCACATCTGACCCATTCGTGAAAAGTCACTTTCAATAATGATACAAAAAGCACCTTAATTACAAAAGAAAGCTCGATGACAGCACTGTGGCTTCAGGCACATGTCGCAGTTTAAGTGGTGTCCAGGTATTCAATACCTGCTTTGCTTACTTCCCTCAGATAAAGGTAAGGGTTCTCATGTTTTCTGAGACACATATGCATCCAATAGAACATTGAGAACATGCCGTTTTAAGATGGCATATTACTTATTTTATTTTTAAAAAATCAGATTTTTTTCTCCTAACTCATGAACATACTGTAAAAGTGCATCTTTATAATGTACATAGCTTGGTGCATATAACAATGTAAGAAAATGCATAATACTGTACACAGTTTTCTGTGCAAAAGTTTGCTAATGAAAAGTGGTAGCACCAGCACTATTTACCTAAACTCAAGAATTGTCAGCAACAGGCCAGGTAAGTGGCTCACACCCGTAATTCCAGTGCCTTGGGAGGCTAAGATGAGAGTACTGCTTGAGACTAGGAGTTTGAGACCAACCTGATCAACACAGTAAGACCTAGTCTTTACAAAATTTTTTTTAAAAAATTAGCCTGGAGTGGTGGTTCATGCCTGTAGTCCCAGCTACTTAGGAGGCTAAGGCGGGAGGATCATCTGAGCCCTGGAGATGGAGGCTGCAGTGAGCCATGATTGAGTCACTGCACTCCAGCCTGGGCAACTAAGACCCCAATTCAGAAAAAAAAAAAAGAATTGTCAGCTACAATTTGTTAAGCACCTATTATTTATCCAGCATTTCATAAAAGTAATTTTAAGACCACTTTATTGAGGTATGATTGAAATACAAAAAGCTGTACATATTTAATGTATACAACTTGATGAATTTGGAGACATGTATGCACCAGTGAAACCATCTCCACAATCTGTACCATAAACATATTCATCACCTCCAAAAGTTTCCTCCTGCCTTCTTATTTATTATTATTCTTGTTTTCCCCTTTGTGACAAGAATAATGAACATAAGATCTGCCCTCTTAGCACATTGGTAAGTGTGCAGTATTGGTGACCCCAGGCACTGTGCTGCACAGTATATCTTGAGAATTTACTCATCTTATATGACTATAAAGTAATTCTTATTGTCATAGTCAGCCTGAAGGGTTTTGCCCCATGTTCACATGAAGAAAATCTGGTTCACTGAATAGCTTGTCAAATTTTCCCAACTAGACCGAGTCAGAGCTTTGATTCAAACATCCCATCTCAGTGCCCATCACGCCTGCCTTATCCTTTCCTTCCTTCTTTCATTCTTCCCTCTTTCCCTCCTGTTCTCCCTTTCTTCTATTTTTTTCCCCTTTTCTTTCCCTATTTCCTTTTACCTATCCAGATATTTATTGGCTGTTTCTTTCTGCTGTGTCAAGCTACCTCCCTGGTATGATAGGTAGTTAAGTCCATTGTGAGTGTTCCTGCCTGTATTGAAATGTTAAGAATCATGCAAATAATAGTGGAGAATTACATAAGAAGCCCGTTCTTATAGCTAATGTTATGGTTTATTCTCAACAAAGCATTAGCTTATGGTTTTCATTGTGTACTTAGAAATATTTGTTTTTACTTTATAGCTATGATTTATAGATAGAATGAAGTGACCTTATATTTACTAGTCATCATTTCAATCCCTCAAATGGGCAAAACTCTCTCTCTTTGTCCCCCGCAATCCCCCTCCACACATACACATATACACAATTTGCCTCAATAGCAGACAGTCGTTGACCTGAGTCAAGTGCAGTCTACACGAGTGGCCTTGCTGTATATGGTTCCCTGTGGTTCTTTCACACGTGCAGGCCTCTGCCCACTCATCAGCTTGCGGATCTCTGGAAGGATGTTGAGTATGAGAGAAACAGAGCAAGGGTTCATGATGGGGCCTTGTTCTGCCATCCAGGAGTTGCATGTCTCTCCTTCCCTTACCCACTTCTTTGATACTTAAATGATACATAAGATATAACTGACAGAAGTGAAACATACTGCTCATCTGTGTTTATATACCCGTCTTCCTCTACTAGGTGGTAAGCTCCCTGAAGGTAAACTCTCTTATATGATTTTATTTACTCAATATTTAGTACAATGCGTGGCAGTGTCTCAAAAAATGTTTATTGAATGAAAACATGTTGAGTAAAGATAGTGGCACTTTAAGAAGTCACTATAGTCCAAAAGATTGATTTAACATTCTACCTATTCGGGCTCGGTGGCTCAGCCTGTAATCCCGCGCCTTTGGGAGGCTGAGGTGAGTGGATTGCCTGAGCCCGCGGGTTTGAGACCCACCTGGGCAACTTGGCGAGACCTCATCTCTACAATAAAATCAAAATGAGCCGGGTGTGGTAGCACGTGCCTGTAGTTCCAGCTACTTAGAAGGATCACCGGAGCCAAGTAGGTCGAGGCTGCGGTGGCCGGGAGCGGCCACTGCACTCCAGTCTGGGTGACAGAGTGAGACTCCAACTCAAAAAAAAAATTTTTTTTACCTAAACCATACTAATATATGTTTATCATCCCTGGCTTAAAGTTTGTAGACTGAAGGACTACTCTGTCATTTCATTATGATCAGCATTTGTATTGTCATCATATGCTCCCAGGAATAAAGCACTGTTGCATGCATTAATTCTGGAGTTCCTCTAAGACATTCTAAGGGCCAGGGCAGTTTATTATTATTATTACTTCCATTTGCCAGTTTAGGAAAGGGGGATTCAGAAAGGTTAAGAGATGTGTCTAAAGTTCCACAGTTACTGGCCATAAATTTTGACTGAACTTGGGTCTTGTGACCCAGGGTCAGTGCTCTTTCTCCTCACAGCACAAGCTCTCTTCAAAATTTTGTCGAGTCCCTACTCAGCACCTTCTTGGTGTGCACTGCTCTGTGTGCACATGCACTTGGGAACATATAGAACTATAAAGAAACAAATACTTATGTGATACCTTCCAGTTGGTCACGATTATAACTAATTGAATCTTATAACAATACTATACCTTATTATGTTCATTTTAAGAATGAAGAAACGGAGGCACAGAGATGACAAGAACTCCCTAACTCTTCTTAAATAAGAAAGTCACAAATCCATAGGTTTTACTTGTTTTTTGTTTGTTTGTTCTTTGAATTGGAGTCTCACTCTGTCGCCCAGACTGGAGTGCAGTGGCACGCTCCTGGCCACCGCAGCCTCCACCTGCTGGGCTCCGGCGATCCTTCCACCTCAGCCTTCCAAGTAGCTGGAACTACAGGCATGTGCTAACATGCCTGGATAATTTTTTGATTTATTGTAGAGATGAGGTCTTGCCAAGTTGCCCAGGTGGGTCTCGAACCCGCGGGCTCAGGCAATCCACTCACCTCAGACTCCCAAAGCACAGGATTACAGGCTGAGCCACCAAGCCCAGCTGGCTTTACTTGTTTTAACCTCCATACATGTGGGAGAAAAGGGATGAGCTAATAACACTTTATGGCTCTATAAAGAAAACTCACAAGAATTTCTAATTTAAAAAATAGATGCATTATCCAGGCACAGTGGCTCATGCATATAATCTCAGCACTTTGGGAAGCTGAAGCAGGAGGATTGCTTGAGTCCAAGAATTTGAGACTAGCTGAGGCAACATAGCAAGACCTCATCTCTACAAAAAAATCTAAAAATTAGTTGGACATGGCAGCTACTCAGGAGGCTGAGGCAGAAGGATTGCCTGAGCCCAGGAGGTTGAGGCTGCAGTGAGCCATGATTGAACCACTGCACTCTGACTTGGGTGATAGAGTGAAACCATGACTCAAAAAAAAAAAAAAAAAGATGTATCTATTAAAATATTATTACCAGGACCACATAACAAATAAGCCAATCAATCAGAATTATTGTCTTTTTAGATATTACAATTCATAGGACGTAACAACGGTCTTTGAAGTTCAGATAACATATTTCTTTTATGTATAGCATTTGCAAGGACATTCAATGATGGCAACGGTATCTTTTTTTTTTTTTTAGTTGAAAGAGAAGAGGGAACATTTCTTCTTTTTAGCTTGCCAAAATTTATTTAGTGTGTGGCTAACTAGAAAGTGACTAGTTTCAAGTTTCAATATTGGCATTGAGAGAAAGGAATAAACAGACTTGAGAAGTTCAAATATTGCAAAATGTAAAGAAAATTTGCAGAATAGAATTATTAACAATGGGATATGGAAGATAAATATTTTGTATCTACAACTTGCCCTGGACCTACAGGGACAAGCTATAACTTCCTAGAAAATACAAAGCAAGAACTCTAAATAGCAATTAAGAGCTAAATAAAATTCAGTACATATCACTAGGTCACGTAAGATTAATTTGCAAATAAGTCATACTAACAATAATGTAGTAAGCTCAGAGACAAGAACTAGATTTCCCAGGGAAGGGGATATGTCTTTGTTCTCAATTGTCCTTCATAGATAAGAGATTTGTATAATAGATAATTACCTTTCTAATCTCAGGGGCAGAATGTCTATTTTTATTCTCCAGAATTATTCTTCCATGCAGACTATAGAATCTTCCTAGATAATTTATTAATGGCTTACCATGTGCCAGGTATACATGTATGTATATGTATGTATACATGTACATGCAAATATACACACACTGAAGAGAGGAGACAGTAACACTTAAAATAGAGCATGTCAGCTGGGCTCGGTGGCTCAGTGTAATCCCGCACCTTGGGAGGCTGAGGTGAGTGGATTGCGTGAGCCCGCGAATTCGAGACCCGCCTGGGCAACTTAGTGAGACCTCATCTCTACAACAAATCAAAAAATCAGCCGGGTGTGGTAGCGCGCGCCTGTAGTTCTAGCTACTTGGAAGGCTGAGGCGGAAGCTTCACTGGAGCCCAGCAGGTCGAGGCTGCAGTGGCTGGGAGCGGTCACTGCACTCCAGTCTGGGCGACAGAGCGAGACTCCAACTCAAAAAAAAAAAAAAAAAAAATAGAGCATGTCATATTACAA